TAGGGGGGAGAGATGTACAGAAAAAAATATAAAAACTACTGCATAATTATCAAATAAAAAATTAATCAATAACTTAGCTTTCAAACATCAATCGATACAACATTACCTAATTGTTGAGTTAGCTAACAATTAACCTGTGTTTCCCAAATTAATAAATATATGATTAATTTTATTTATTTATTTTTTGAATATAATTATTGGTATGAGAACTTATATTTAATGCTCTAAATTAAATCGACATAATATCGTTTGATAATAAAATATGGTTATTAAATTGCAAGAGAGATCATATTAAATACTAAATCTACATAATTCTAACAGCGTAATTTCCTCTCCATCATTGACAAAGCAAATGATCTATGTAGGCAAAAACAATCAAAATGACTGTGGCATCCATACTTGACGCTGGGGCCACGAAACATACGAGTAATTCGTTGAAGGCAGGAAAGACTGTTTGACATGAATGATTGAAATCAAAATATCCGTGTAGATGACAGCAACTAAAATGATATCTCAGTTCGGACATCTTTTCATAAAATCTAGTTAGTAAATTATTCTTGAACATACTAAGTTGATCGGATCGGATCGGACATCTTCAGTAGAAGTTTGATCAGCAACAGTTACAATCATCTGATCGGATCCTCTACCACACAGCTTTTCCATCAAAGCATGTGATACGCGTCTATGACGCTTATTGATGCACTCTAAGACAAACCATGTAGGGTGGTAGGGTGGGTTTTCCACCCTTCATGTTACGAAAGATGAAGAATGGCAAAAACATTTGCGCTCCTGCAGGTATTTTTCCATCACGACACAACTTGTTGATTGATGTTTCCGCGAACTTTGTCAATACATCATGTCGTAGGACTTGGTCGTCATTCTAATGTTCCACGTAATTATTCTACCAAGTTAGCTGAAAGCCAAGTAAGGTAACCTTGTGTACACATCTTGAGGAGAGCACCCCACCACCATTTCATGCGGTCAATGGCCGATAACTTGTGTTCTCCGCCAAAGTCTTAGAATGAGAAACAGTTGGAGAGAAGGAACAGCACCAAACGTTGAGCCAACTAATTTGGGCCTTTTCAGGCTATGAGAAACAAAAAAGTCAGAGATAGTTTTGGGATATCCTGCCCAGCAACCCAAACTCACTTTGCTTAAAATTCACTCTTCGTTGCAACTTTTGACTTGGTTTGTTGTTTCCAGATAGGATTTAGCCTCTAACCTTATAAGAAAGATTTTGTATAGAAAACGTAAAAGAGATGTTAAATGTTAGCTTAGCATCAGATTTCGAACCATTGTTTGTTTCCAACCTTTTCATTGAATAATGGCTTCTGAATCTGTTTCTGTTCCCACTTAAACCAAGGGCACGTATCGGTCATTACAATGTGGTTAATTTTAGGTCCACAAAAAGCATCTCAGCAGTTCTCATTGGAGAATGCTGTACCGTAGTAAACCTTTTGCCTTCTAGACATCAGCGTTATTACACTTACTCCAACCTGCAACCACACGAATGATGCAGGGCAGGTGAATTTCCACGTATCATGTGTTCCTTTACAGCTCAAGGATAAACAATGGTCGATGCATAAACGCACAAGCCACAAAGCATCAACAGGCAAAATGTTCCGCTAACCTAAACGCTCTTCTCACCCAAACAAAAGACATTTGCCTAAATATAATAACCAAACCCCAATTCCCTCCGAGGGGAAGAAAACCTAGGTCTTCACAGAATCAGATGAAGTAGCGTCATACTTTTCCCCTTCTCATTTATATGGAGTCTGGGTTGAAGCCTCAGCTCGAGCATGTATTTATGTGCTCTAGCAATTGGGCCGTCCTCTTCCTCTTTATCTATGCCACTAATGTCCAATTCTTGCAATGGTCCCATAACCACACTGCACTCTTTCTATTCATGGGGGAAACCACTTCCTATATTCTTCACCAACAGAGCCATGGCCTGAACAGCTGCAGTTGCCGACTTTCCTTCTTGGGGGCTTCACAGTAAGGCCAATAATGCCAGGGCTTCAAACATCATAGGCACTGCAGGCCTTCCCCTTGTTTCCTCATTAAATGCACAGGTAAAACAGTATGGTTGCCACATCTTTCTTCCTTCCATGTGTACCTTCACTCAGCAGTTGCACCAGTGCTGAGGTTGCTCCTGATGCCCCATTTGTCACCTTAGATTCATCCACCACCGAAAGGCTTAAGAGTGTGGCTGAAGCAATCTCCCGTGCCTCCATGCTACCATTTCATAGAACACGGACGGTACCATGAATAGCCCCGAAAGAGATTATTATTATTGACTTCTTGTCCTCATGGATGTAAAGATTGTAAAGGGCAGCGACTCTCCTGGGTGCGGGAATCAATGGGTGAGAGTAGATTTCTGGAGGCAAACAGCATCAGCCTCAGCTATCCATATGCGATCATCATCGACATTACACTTGGCTAGCAGATGAAGCTCCCCAAAAGCTGCTACTTGGTCATCAAGACTTCGAGAGGATAACTTGCGAAAAAATGCATATACATCAGCAAGTTCACTTAAGCAGCAAGTTAAGTTAAGGCTTACTAGGTTGGGACAGGCATTTGGGTGAGATCCGTGCCATTGGCTGGATCTTTCATCATTAATTCCAGTGAGATTGGGCACAGCAGAAATCATCAGGAACCATAGGAACTTTTGGCTCTCCAATGAAAAGAGAAAAGGCTTTCAATTTAAGACCGCACAAGATCCTTTATCACCTTCAACAACATCTCATATTTTCAATGTTTCTACCCCCACTTTCAAAGACCATCTCACGTAAAGCTAATGATTCTTGTTTGAGGTCAGAGATGGTAAGTAGCCATAAGTTTTCTGCCAATCGTCCTATAGTACATGGGTCTACAATAGTGTGATGGTTCTTATTATATGGAGACAAGAAATTAGAGTAGAGGTCACCATCGAGAAAGTCATCTCATGATCTGGCTCTTTTAAAATGAGCACGTACCAACTCAAGCTATACAAAATGTTCCTAATTATGAAAGACTCTAAAAGAATCAATTTCGATATTCTTGAGTTTGAAACCTTGAGAGAACATATAATTTCAAGTTTTTCGCAAAAGAAATAAATTCTTTCCTAATGGTCTAAATCAAGTAATAAGTAAGTTATTGCTTTCAGATGTTTGTCCCTGTTCTTTATTTCTGATATTTCAAGTTTATCAAAGTTTTTAATCCACAGCATGATTTATTTGAGAATCTAAATCTTTTCATCATCGTCTCCCTTTCTAGGGCTTCAAACCACGAGGGAATGTCCAAGAACAAAGTGACAATCAATGCCAAAGTAAAAAAAATCATATTATGCATCTAAGAGTCCATGGAAACACAATCAGAGCAACCTTTTCACAAATTGATAACCCAAGGTCTTGGTCATGGCAGTCTTTTGCAGGAAGTAACCTAAAATCTTGTTTCCCTAGTGAAAATTCTTTTGCTTCCAGTTCGGCGGACGACACGTCCATATCCAGTTTTTCTTTCCAAATGCCAAAGGAAATGCCAAAGGCAACAACTAAATAACACCAAGTATAAGCTTAATAATTTTGATGTAGAGGATGACAGCCTAATCCACAATTGTCAAGTAACAACATACCCAGAAAATGAGAATATCAAATTCATACCACTTTGACATGCAAGAAGTTATTGCTGGCAACTATATATGTCAAAATCCTACCAAGCAAGAAACTATCAAGAGTTATGTGAAGGGTCCAAACAGATGTAGTTATCATGCAAAGAAGCCAAACAAAGATGTGTTAACTACACAAAACAAGACAGTGAAACGTTTGATAAAAGTTGTTCAGATTTATACCTTTTGGTGACGGTGTGCCCTTTTGTTGATCCAAAATCAGCGTTCGGCTGAGCATGGGGCATCGCTAAAGGCCAACGCCCATATGGAGGACACCGTCCGATTCCTATCGATAACAAATTGAAATCAACAAATCAGTTCTGTTTCCTAAAGGATCAAACCACGAAGAGATCGGCATCTCAAAGACCCCGAATCGATCAAACCAAAAACACTTGAAGAAGACCGAACCCACAGTCAAGAAAGAACGGAGGTTTCTAATTCAAGCCTACGATTCGAAGAAGGACGAGATGGTTGAGATACCTGACATCCGACGTCTCGGAGATGAAGAGAAACCCAAAAGCCGACGACGCTCGGCGAAAACAGGGAACCCTTTAAATAAGAGGCGCCAGGCGAATGGAACGAAAAGACAAACGAGGGGCTCAAAATATCCTTTAATTACGAGGTTACCCTAAGTCGATTAGGAACGTTTGATCAGATGTGGGCAAAAAGATGGACGGCTTTGATTCAGCGAAAAAATTGTTTCTGTGCCGATCATAACATCGATCATCGTCGTCGTTGTCATGTAATTTAATCTCAGTAAGTCATAAGATGATAAGACCAGAATTAATATAAAATTTTCAATTATTATGGCTGTATGAAACGTTGAAATTAAAATATGAAATGCTGTTATCAATACGGCCTAATTATATATTTTTTTAATAATTAGTCATCTTTAATAACTTAATATTTATATTTTAAAAAATTATATTGATATCTAAAAATTATAAAAGTAAAATATTTAAGTTCATTTAATTTAACATCACTAAGGGTCGTAAGTGGATGTTGTGAATGAGGATAGTGACGACGAAAGGTAAAGGTTACTCTGTATTTACACTCTTACATATACATACCGAACAATAAAAGAATTATCGAGATAGATGTGAAGCGACATTTCTCAACAACTACATTTGCATTCACATAGATACCACCTTTAGTTGTTCCCACTCGTGTATAATGGGCATAAAATATTAAAAAAAATTTATATATTTTTGGATCCATGATGTTATTATAAATAAATCTAAATATTTTACTTACGTAACAATACATGATATAAACATGAATCCTCCTTCGAATTCCATCGGATGATTCCGACAGATCTAAATTGAATGCCGCCGTGAAATCAACCAACATAAGCACGAAAAAAAATTGGATGCTTTTACAAACATCAGTAACGTATATGATAGAAAAGTCAAAATGTAGCAGCGCAGCGAGCAAATGTCATGCAAATAGCAGCGGTAGATACAGCGACACTGTATAAAACAGAGCAACTCCTTTGCCGCCGGTCCCGGACGTGACTTCCTCTTTGAAGCCCTGCGGCGGCGACAGCCTCGCCGGAGGCGTGTCCACCCCCTCCGTACACTGCGGCGCGAGATTCGACGCATCCGCCTCCCCCGCGAAGATCTCCCTCGGGAGGAGCACCTTGGAGACGGCGAACACGGCTACCGGGTTCTGGTCGAACACAGTGCGCGTGATGAACGCCACGACCAGACCGGTGTCGATGGCCACCGAGCCATTGACGCGGGTGATGTTGAGGGTGAAGCAGCCGGCGGCGGTGTCTTCGGTAGCGACCGTGGGCTGGACGGGGTTGACGATGGACTCGAGGGAGCCGAGGGGGTAATAGGAGCGGAGCACGTGGAAACGGAGCACCAGCGCCTTGCGGTCCGCTGGCAGCGACTGCAGTCGCTCGGTGGCCGGGAAGTCGGCGAAGGTCTCGTCGGTGGGGACGAAGACGGTGATTCCGGCACCGTGCTCGTCGGCCTCTAACTCCGCCACGACACCGGAGGCCTCGAGCATGGAGGCGGCCACGTTGAAGCTGCCGCCGTCAACGAGGACCGGGGTGATGTTGAGGCCGACGGAGGGGCGGATGTCAGTGGCGGCGAGGTCGAAGCCGTAGGGGAGGAGCAGCGCGTCAATGGCGAGGACGGAGACGTTGTATGGGAGGGTGCCGACGAGGCCGAGGATGGTAGCCTTGGATCCGTGGAAAGGGGAGGGGAAGCGCGCTGTGACGGCACCGATTCGGTCCCGGGTGAAGTTGACGGTGCCGAGGTTGCCGTCGGCCCGGCCGGTGGTTTGGTACAGGGTAGCAACCAGCTTCCCGCCGGCGGGGATGCGGCGGAGGTCAGGCGAGGAGAGATACTCGAGGAGGACGTGGTAGCGGAGCACATCCGCGATATCGGCGGCGGCACGGGCGGCGGAGGAACGGAGAAGGTAGGCGTTGGGGATGGCGAGGATGGTGAGGGATGAGCGGCCGGAGAGGTCGCAGGGGACCGACGTGGAGCTGAGGAGGCGGTTGAAGGCGGAGAGGTCGGGGTAAGGGGAGAGCACTGCGGTGATGTTAACCGCCAGGGCCAGTGCGAGGATGACAAGCAACAGGAAAAGGAGAAAGAGCGGGGCAACAGCGGAGTGGAGACGCTGCGGCGGCGGCGCTGCCATTTCAAATTGCTGCGACTTCCTGCTCTCCCACGTGTGAGTGGGCGAAGGAAAGGAGAGTGCGAAGTAGAAAGACGACGACGACGTCGTCTTCGATGAGGCCATTAAATAGGCGCGTGTGTATGTATATTACTCTACTTAATTAACTCGAGGAAATGCGTCTAATTTATGATCTGAGAGGAAATGATGAGACAGATTGGGGGTACGTTCACCTACCGCTGCACCACTATGCACGTGGGATTGCTGTCGTTCAGGCGGAGGAGGCGGAAGGGGCTGTCTTCAGGTGAGCGGAGGCGAGGCCGAGAGAGGAGTGGCGTCTCGTTTGAGTGTCCGTAGCAGGAAACGAACACCGAACTCGAGCTCTCGACCACAGGAAAACCGATGACATCGAGGAAACTAAGCTTTCGAGGTGAATAGAGGACAGTGTAAGACAGGTCACCCGTGGTAGTACTATTAGACGCAGATGAGTCGAGATGTGGGTTGCAGTGCTATCCTCCTTCGTGAGTTGGGGGACAGTAGCCATCTCACATCACCATAACTGCTCCGACGTCGACCTCCGTCATCATCTTCGTCTTCAAAGAGAAGCTGGACTGAGAACCCTACAAACCTTTCCACGAAGATGAGGTAAATGATACACTGAAACAATTCTCCACCAAAAACCAAATTTGCCTTCGGCACAAACAAGAGAAGCAGTAACTTAATTTCAATGCAGAAAATTGATTTAATGGTAAAACCGGAACACCATCATAAATCCAGCCTCGGTAACGAGAGTGAGGATAAATAATGAGAAATTTTGAAGAACCTGAAATATGACAATACGATTTATTCTTCTCACCCTTGCATGGGGCGAACATCCTAAGGTTAACCATTGTGATTACAGACAGATAAAAAGGACGACACCCTTCCACCTAAAAGAGAATTGTTCATGTTACAACAGAGAAGTGAAAAGAATGCAGACTAATATGCTGATGACTCCAGTTTTGACGTCTTTACAAACATTTGGATATCAAGTAGAAAAGAATCGACTAATATAGAAGCCTTCTGCTGACACCGAGCACCAAAATTTGCAGGTTGCTTTGCTTCGAGGCGTCGATAGATGCAGAGGTTGTGAATACAAGTTAAAAGTGCAAGTCAGCACCTGGATAACAATTTTTTGGATTCCCTTCTTCAATCAACTCTTCAACTATATACAAAAAGTAGGAACCCCACCAGGCTGTAAAAGAATAGTTGTTATGCAGTCTAAATGAAGCCTGCAACCTTGGAAAGAAGAGTGCTCTCACGAGACGCCTATACAAATGCCGTAATCTCAGGTTGTAAAGAATAGCCACTATACAGTCTACATGGAGCCTGCAAGCTTGGAAAGAATAGTGGTCTCGCAAGAGGCCAATGAAAGAACAAATGATGCACCAGCTCCAACGTCAGTTGAATCACCATAAATGTTTAACCAAAATTATCTGGACTATACTATCGAGCTGACAAAGATCTTGATACTTCCGTCCTGTTAGAGCGGCACATACAGTGAGGACACGGGTAAGTGTATATAGATTCATTTGGTCTTTTCATCTCTATTCCCTTGGCATCACTTTGAGCTCGCATGATTAGCAATTGGCGCTTCAAGGACTTCCACCTGTTCAAAAAGTAAGTAAAAAGGAAAGATTTCACACCATGTAAACAAGCAAAAGATTGTCGAAGATATATTATGCATGACAAGTGGACGTGCAAGGAATAAAAAAAACTAATAACACATGAGAATAGTTGTTGACGATGAGTCAAAGATGTGAACAACAAAATGAGTCCTTTTATTTAACTACTCATCTAAGTCATTATTGGATGTCCAAGAAGAACAAAAGGATTATATGAATCTAAACAAACGAGTACTTCATGAAACTTCTCCAATAAACGACTGGAAAACTTTCATATATTCTTTTACCCAAATGCTATCACTGGACAGAAAACTTTATCAAGCAAGACAAGATCTGGATGTGGGTATGGCTACAAGACAACATAATACATGTTACCATTTAATTTTTCGGAAGAGTTGAAACAACTGATTATTAGTCTCTAGTTTTTTTTTTGTATATATTACTCTAGTTAGAAACGGTTCAAGTGGCCTAAAATTTCCACATTCATAACGGAACAGCCGGCATTGAATCTAAATAGAAAGATTGAGATAACAAAGATTGACCTTCCTATGTAACAGGGTAATTATGCAGCTTCTTGATCACAAATTCTTCAACTTTGTTCATCAATAGACAAGGTTATAGTTGTTTGATAAAGCTTTGACATTTTATGTTCAATATCTTATCCAATACCATCAACAGTGTACTTAGTCCAAGCCCAACAATACAAACTACAGAAACACAGGAATAAGGCACACTGACTCCCTGTATGTCCCTTCACATCTATGGTCCAGGGCAAAATTGTTTTCTGAAAGCCCCCACAGGGTTTCCACATTTGGTAGTTATGACCCTTCAGATCACCACAGGGTTTCTCATTTAACAGGGACATTATGACCCCTTGGTGGTTGGCAAGGTTTAAACCTGTTGCCTCAAAGTAATTGCATCTGGAAGAGGACTGACATCCAATGAATTAAATGCAATTAGATATAGTATGAGAATATCCAATTAAAACTTCTGATATAGTCAACTTCTACAGATTCAAGGCAGAAAGTGATCAACACAAAAGTAGACTTAGTGAAAAGTTTCTTTATTGAGCTAAGGTAGGAACAAGCAGACGATTCTATAAACTATGCAACTAGCGATGTTGAATTAAGATCAAAAATTCAAAATAACTTAATAAAGGTAAAACTAATCAGGTGCTTAAAATCTATAAGCCATAAAACTGCTTGAGTTGAACTAAATTCCAAAAGCAAACCAGATAAAAGTTTATGGAAATATCAACAGCAGGAATATGAGCTGACATACCCTATAGTTGGATTATCGAACAATAATGCTAACTTCCTCTTGTCAGGTTTTATAGTTTTAGAGTGCCCATCATACAAGTATCTCCTGTGGCCAATCAGAAAATGAGGGAAGTTTCCACCTTGAGTAGTCACAAACACTTCACTGTGAAGACAGACACTATAGTCTATTGAAGCCATCCTAGAGGAATAGTTCTGCAGAAAACAGTCAAATTAAAGTTATTAATGTAAAGACATAGGAAAGCTACAACAGGAGGCCCTCAGAAAAAAAAACAAAACAAAACAAAAAACCTTAAATGGGGCAAGTTCCTCTGCTGATGCCAGTGTTTCTTTAGTTTGTAGAAGAGGAAACATTTCAAGAAGGGGAACCATATTCTTCTCAGCCTTGTAAATTTTCCCAGAAGCCAAATAAATTGCAGTGTTATTATTGAAACCCATGCCACGGAGCATCAGACCAACCTGATTCCAAGAATGAATTAATAGTTGGAAGAACATTCAAGTATGTTATGCTCAGGATGACCAAATAAACTACAAGTTCAAGCATCAGCGATGATAGCTAAATAAGATCACCAATCAATGGAAAAAAAAGTTAGTTGCTTGATGTTCATGGGTGCAGAGTAATAAGACATATATATATATATATATATATATATATATATATATATATATATATATATATATATATATATATATATATATATATCACTGTAAAATATGTAATGCTAATTTCACAATAAGCATAATTCTGGATTAAAAGCATCTTATGCTAAAGTCATCATTTCTCCTATATTAATTGTAACATAATAAATAATCAAAATGATTGTCTTTCTCTAATCAAAGTGTGAGCAATAAGTTAAGAGGCATCCACGAAATTATTCTTATTATTCAGAATCAAAATGATATATTATAAATCTTATTATCTTACAACTACAAAATTAATGAATCGGTGTACTATGACTAGAAAGGCAAATAATGAATTTGAGCAGTTGCTTTTAGATATGGTTATGGTTCAGAAAATAAAATCTTCTGGAGAAATTTGTGAATACATTAATGTGGTATTAGTGAAAATGATTGCTGAAAAGACTATTCAGTCAAAGTTAGTTTGATATAACCAGGAAATACCATTTGATGAAAGATTCTGTCATATCAGCAAATTAAATTCATAGGAAGCACAGGAGAAAAAGTTAATCATTAGGTCATGTCCACAGAAGCATTGTGTTTGACCGTGTGATGTCTCAAAAACATGATACTGAGGAAGCAACTAACAAAAGTGTAGCAACAATGTTGCTTCCCAAACAATTGATATAGCAAGAGCATCTAAGAAGTTTTCGATAGAGAAGAGAACTTAAAATAATATACATGTGATTCTTGTAGTACAACAATTTATGATATACCAATGTTTTAAAAATAGACCACATTGTTCTCCCCGTTTTTTACTGACCTGACCAAGCACTGGTAATGGGCCATGCTGGTTGCACCGTCCTTTCATTATTCTCTTTTATATTATTTTTTCAGTGATACCGGTAGTATAGTTCAGTGTACCACGCAATATCTCTATACTGTATTAGTTCGATAGCTTGTTAAAACTAATATAAGACAGGTATTTGAAACCTTATCCTATACTCATCTGAATGACAACCAAGGATGATCAAGTGACAATGACAGGAGAAAAGTAATTCATCATAAACAACACAAATTTTCAGCCGAGAGCAACAAGAATGAGAATACATAAGGAGATAAGTAAACCATTAGTACTTCATATGGGTCATAATTTAGATGTACACAATCAAAAATATTAGTAAAATTTTAGTGCATATCACTTTCATATTTCCATCTCTTTAAGTTCATGTCACTCAGTTAACCTTACAAGTAAAAAAGTAGAAATAAAATACTTAAAAACCATCGCTTATTCATTCAAATATCAAAAATTACCAGCATAACGTAACGAAGGATAAAGAAGGTTATACCTCTAAAGGTGTAAGCGGACATTTTCCATTCATCCTAATTGCCCCAGGTCGAATGACACGGCCACGTTTAGTAAATTTTCCTCTCCAACCTCTCTCTCTTGCGGCATTCATATCCTGTTTCTCTTCGTCACCACCATTAAATATGCAACAGGAGAAGGCAACCATATCCTGAAAGAATTGAAAAAATACAATATCCACTTGAACTGGATGACATAAAATCAAGAGATAACAAGACAAATGTGAAGGTATAATATTGACCTCTTCGAAACGCAGATGCACTGCAATATATTTCCCATTATTATCCACACTGCGCTCTTTCATTCGAGAGACCAAATTTTCAGCCAAAGTTGCTATAGGATTTGAAAAACGTAGTGCTTTAAAATTGGCCAAGCATCTTAGGCGCTGAACTGCAGAAGGGGCATCGAATGACAGCC